GGGCTCACTGCCATCTTGACATCGCAAATTGCCCACGTAGACTATATTCACCTGTCAGGAAGGCAGTTTTTATCTATCAACCCAAGACAACAAAAAAAAAAACTGACTTGAAAGAATTTTATCAGTTGTGAGCTTGAAGGCTATCAAATTTCTATCATCTGTCAAGTGTGAATATTCAAATTAGTCAATTTCTGCGCAATTACATCGCTGTTATCTGTCTATTTGATGCGTAGGTACACACATGCACAGGTGAGAATGAGATACAGCCCCTTGAACATCAGCCACTGATAAACATTACCTAACCAGTCTACATCACATCAGGTGCAAATAACACATTACTGAGTTTTTGTTGTTCACTTAGTGACCTGAACTAGACACAAGCATTTAGCATCCTACCTGTCAACAATGTATATAGATTACATAAACCAACTCAATTTCTGCACTTACTATCTATTACTGTGTATTTGTGAAACCTTCTCATGTAAAATATTTATGAATAATCTTGAACACTGGCCAAATATGCAGAAATTATCAATATTCATAAATGTCAAATTCTTTCTGACATTACTAGTACTCAGAATGTAAGTCGAAAAAAGTTTTTATGCATAAGGTGTTGAAGGCAATGAGAATCCTGCCCTTACAATGCCCTTCCTGAACAGAAGCAAACTTGAGACAGGGCCATCAAGTATATGAGGAAAGTGAGGACTTGTTTGCACTATATTCTGACTTTGTACTTATTTCATTCTATAGTACAAATAGTGAAGCTATCTGTCTAACTACATCAGGACTCCAGATAGTGAAGCTATCTATCTAACTACATCAGGACTCCAGATAGTGAAGGTATCTGTCTAACTACATCAGGACTCCAGATAGTGAAGCTACCTGTCTAACTACATCAGGACTCCAGATAGTGAAGGTATCTATCTAACTACATCAGGACTCTGGGATAGTGAAGGTATCTGTCTAACTACATCAGGACTCCAGATAGTGAAGCTATCTAACTACATCAGGACTCCAGATAGTGAAGGTATCTGTCTAACTACATCAGGACTCCAGATAGTGAAGGTATCTGTCTAACTACATCAGGACTCTGGGATAGTGAAGGTATCTGTCTAACTACATCAGGACTCCAGATAGTGAAGCTATCTATCTAACTACATCAGGACTCCAGATAGTGAAGGTATCTGTCTAACTACATCAGGACTCCAGATAGTGAAGCTATCTATCTAACTACATCAGGACTCCAGATAGTGAAGGTATCTGTCTAACTACATCAGGACTCCGGGATAGTGAAGCTACCTGTCTAACTACATCAGGACTCCGGGATAGTGAAGCTATCTATCTAACTACATCAGGACTCCAGATAGTGAAGCTATCTGTCTAACTATATCAGGACTCCGGGATAGTGAAGGTATCTGTCTAACTATATCAGGACTTCAGATAGTGATGGTATCTGTCTACCTACATCAGGACTCCAGATAGTGAAGGTATCTGTCTAATTGCATCAGGACTCCAGATAGTAAAGGTATCTGTCTAACTACATCAGGACTCTGGGATAGTGAAGGTATCTGTCTAACTACATCAGGACTCCAGATAGTGAAGCTATCTAACTACATCAGGACTCCAGATAGTGAAGGTATCTGTCTAACTACATCAGGACTCCAGATAGTAAAGGTATCTGTCTAACTACATCAGGACTCTGGGATAGTGAAGGTATCTGTCTAACTACATCAGGACTCCAGATAGTGAAGCTATCTATCTAACTACATCAGGACTCCAGATAGTGAAGGTATCTGTCTAACTATATCAGGACTTCAGATAGTGATGGTATCTGTCTACCTACATCAGGACTCCAGATAGTGAAGGTATCTGTCTAATTGCATCAGGACTCCAGATAGTGAAGGTGTCTGTCTAACTACATCAGGACTCCAGATAGTGAAGGTATCTGTTTAACTACATCAGGACTCCGGGATAGTGAAGGTATCTGTCTAACTACATCAGCACTCCGGGATAGTGAAGCTATCTGTCTAACTACATCAGGACTCCAGATAGTGAAGGTATCTGTCTACCTACATCAGGACTCCAGATAGTGAAGGTATCTGTCTAACTACATCAGGACTCCAGATAGTGAAGGTATCTGTCTAACTACATCAGGACTCCAGATAGTGAAGGTATCTGTCTAACTACATCAGGACTCCAGATAGTGAAGGTATCTGTCTAACTACATCAGGACTCCAGATAGTGAAGGTATCTGTCTAACTACATCAGGACTCCGGGATAGTGAAGCTATCTGTCTAACTACATCAGGACTCCGGATAGTGAAGCTATCTGTCTAACTACATCAGGACTCCAGATAGTGAAGGTATCTGTCTAACTACATCAGGACTCCGGGATAGTGAAGGTATCTGTCTAACTATATCAGGACTCCAGATAGTGAAGGTATCTGTCTACCTACATCAGGACTCTGAATAGTGAAGGTATCTGTCTAACTACATCAGGACTCCAGATAGTGAAGGTATCTGTCTAACTACATCAGGACTCCAGATAGTGAAGGTATCTGTCTAATTAGATCAGGACTCCAGATAGTGAAGGTATCTGTCTAACTACATCAGGACTGGATAGTGAAGGTATCCGTACAATGAAACTGCTATCTCTAACAGAACAGATCCCCCTGAAAGCAGCATCTTCAGGGACTATGAACTATCCTAGTTAAGAACCACTGCAGTGACACATTGATTGTAGTTGATTCAGTCTCTCCTGGTAACTGCCTTCACTGGCAATGCTATTTTTTGCAGGATTATAACCTGAACAAGGACTTCCTGCATTCTTGAAAACATTTCTATGTTTCAGTTTCAAATATTTCTTCAAACAAAAAAGGTACATGTTTTATTTACTTGCCCTGGTTAATGCTGCCTGGTATCACCTGAGAGTTCATTTCTACACACACATTGCCATTCAAGTGCACAACTTCCCCTGGTCACAGCTATAGGTTACCTCTAGAGTCCTACTTCAAGACAGACCATCGCCAATAAGTCAACCAATCACCATGCTCATGGTTATACTAAACAATCTGCAGTTCTCTTTTCATTAATAGTATTGTCACTTATAATTCTGTGGATATAAGTGTAACATAAAACTACTTTTAATACCATTAATGTTTGATTGTCCATAACAGTCAATGGTATTGATTCTGAAGCACCCTTAGCTGAGCAAACACACCCTGCTTTGAAAGTACAATTTCGGTAACCCAAGTGCCAGACGGAAATCATTTCCCACAAGGAAATTGTTTCATCAATAGGAGCAAATTTGCTCACATTTTCATGTTGTTAAGAAGCAAGGCAGACATCGATAATGGAAAATCATCTAAATAATGTCATCGGAGTAGACTGATTAAATCATGAACCAGCGACAGTGCTTTGGTGACGGTGTACAATGCAAGGAGTTGAAATACATCTTTGGAGGTTAGACATGGGATAAGAGGGGATAGAAGTGGAAGTGATCAAACAGAACATGACCATGTTCAACAAAGCCTGGGTGGAGGATCCTCTTGACAACTGACCAGCAATGGAATCATCTTAGTAAGATCTTACACAGAGTTTCTTTCAATAGAATAAAAATATTCCTTCTGAGAAAAACATATATTACCCACTGAAGAGCAACACACAACTCTCTCTCTAAACTGTAAGGGGTATTTGTGGGAGACATACACAAGTTGGTGACGGTTTCTGATGAGGAATATAGACCGGAGGCTACAGCAAGGAAGAGCGAGACACTGCTGGTGGTAGTGCTGTGTTGTTGGAAGCAACAGGTGGAAGACAAATGTTGGTAACAGGTCATCGAGCCAGCTCGGAAGTGCTCAATGCTACCTGGAGCCATATCACATTTTCTGTTTATTTTCAGATGTAAGTGAGAAGCTCTTGAAAAGACATTAGCCTTTCCGTTTACTCTGGCATGGCTAGTGGGCTGTATGTCAAGTCTGAAAGATAATTCACACCATGATCTGCTCGTATCAAAGTGAGCTGACCTGCTAACTACACTGTAGCTGGCATATTGATTTATTGAGACAGAGCCACAAGAGAGCATTATGATGAATAAAACATTACAGCACCAGATATACAATTCATTAAACAGTGCACATTGATTATTTGTTTTTTATCTGTGACCACAGACAGTATGCTGATTAACACATAAATGTTGACAGAAGGCGAGGATCCCTTCCCACTCACATCACTGCCTTAGATAGTAGAATCTGTATATACAGCAGATATCTACAAGACTAGTTGCTGGTGAATAACATTGACAGAGGATGCTCAATGATACACTGAAGATATCTACTAGACTAGTTGCTGGTGAATTACATTGACAGAGGATGCTCAAAGATACACTGTAGATATCTACTAGACCAGTTGCTGGTGAATTACATTGACAGAGGATGATTAAAGATGCACTGTAGATATCTACTAGACTAGTTGCTGGTGAATTACATTGACAGGATGCTCAAAGATAGACTGCAGATATCTACTGGACTAGTTGCTGGTGAATTACATTGACAGAGGATGCTCAAAGATACACTGTAGATATCTACTAGACTAGTTGCTGGTGAATTACATTGACAGAGGATACTCAAAGATACACTGTAGATATCTACTGGACTAGTTGCTGGTGAATTACATTGACAGAGGATACTCAAAGATACACTGTAGATATCTACTGGACTAGTTGCTGGTGAATAACATTGACAGAGGATGCTCAAAGATACACTTTAGATATCTACTGCACTAGTTGCTGGTGAATTACATTGACAGAGGATGCTCAAAGATACACTTTAGATATCTACTAGACAAGTTGCTGGTGAATTACATTGACAGAGGATGCTCAACGATAGACTGCAGATATCTACTGGACTAGTTGCTGGTGAATTACATTGACAGAGGATGCTCAAAAATGCACTGTAGATATCTACTGGACTAGTTGCTGGTGAATTACATTGACAGAGGATGCTCAAAGATACACTTTAGGTATCTACTGGACTAGTTGCTGGTGAATTACATTGACAGAGGATGCTCAAAGATACACTTTAGATATCTACTGGACCAGTCGCTGGTGAATTACATTGACAGAGGATGCTCAAAACTGCACTGTAGATATCTACTGGACTAGTTGCTGGTGAATTACATTGACAGAGGATGCTCAAAGATACACTTTAGGTATCTACTGGACTAGGCGCTGGTGAATTACATTGACAGAGGATGCTCAAAGATAGACTGTAGATATCTACTGGACTAGTTGCTGGTGAATTACATTGACAGAGGATACTCAAAGATACACTGCAGATATCTACTGGACTAGTTGCTGGTGAATGACATTGACAGAGGATGCTCAAAGATACACTGTAGATATCTACTGGACTAGTTGCTGGTGAATTACATTGACAGAGGATGCTCAAAGATACACTGTAGATATCTACTGGACTAGTCGCTGGTGAATGACATTGACAGAGGATGCTCAAAGATACACTGTAGATATCAACTGGACTAGTTGCTGGTGAATTACATTGATGGATGATTCTTCAAGATTTACTTTAGTTATCTACTGGACTAGTTGCTGGTGAATTACATTGACAGAGGATACTCAAAGATACACTGCAGATATCTACTGGACTAGTTGCTGGTGAATGACATTGATAGAGGATGCTCAAAGATACTGGACCAGTTGCTGGTGAATTACATTGATGGATGATTCTTCAAGATGTACTTTAGATATCTACTGGAAAAGCTACTTAATTTAACTGATATTTCTTTGTCTGATTTACATTTTCCCATTCCTAACCTTGTCCCCACAAACTGAGGCTTACATTGAATATGCATTCTAAGGCCCACATTGAGTTGAGATTAAAATTCCAGTATGTATGTGGTTTTAGCAATGATCAATACAAGCACACATAACAGCTGTAATGGTGGCCACTACATATAGGTGTCCCTCTCCTGGTTCCTACTCTCAGTCAGTGAGCCATGCACCGAGGGATGTGGTCGATGGATGTAAATATTTCATACATATTCCACTACAGTTATTCCCTCCAGTAGTGAGGAGTAGCCTCTGGAGTGTAGTTGTTCAGTTGTACTCCACACTGTCATTGCTACATTATTGATATGTACCATCCAGCGCAGACCAAGGTGAGAGGTTATCTTGGAGATTGCACTTGTCAAACTGAAACTTGGAAATGTCATATGATGAACAGATATAGAAGATTTGATAGGCCAGTATAGATGTTATCAGCAATGGTTTGCACTGTACACACCTTTCTTGGATTGGCAGCAGCCAGAATGGCAACATGGTTTACAACTTGACCTTCTAAAGTGTCTCTGCCAGTTGAGATGTCTGTACCCCAATATGATGCAATGAGCATATCTTCTGTAATACAGGCTATTGACGCAGCACCGACAGACATACCACTGTGTCTCATGCAACAAAATCCAAGAACCAGCAATGTAATTTATTTACTCTAAACTGATTTGTATTCACCTCCACTTTAAAAGAACTGTCAAATAAACCACTCAGTACATATGTGTTTAAGTCAGCTCCAGGTAGGAAGGGCCCCATCCTATACACCAAGTATACAACTAGACTACACAGACACCTGTAAGGTGGTTAATGAAAACTCATAATAAATTCTAGTCTCACATAAGTCTTACATTTCTGTCTGCAGTTTCATTAACCTTCACAGTCCATCCCACATGACACAAGACAGATCTAAGGAGACAAAAAAACTAAAAGTATGAAACAATAAAAAAATAATTTTTATATGCCTCAAAAGCTGGATCATATATGCTGAACAAGGTCAAGTCAACTGGTAAATCCTGTTCACCACTATGTTTGAAACATGCGACTCATAACTAAATAACTTTGTTACAACTGTTCCCAACAAACAAACAAAAACATGAGAAAACCACAACTGTATTTCTGTTTCTGTATATTTTCTACAGACAAAAGTTAGGCACTGAACTAATGTGAAGCAAGTGCGCAGTCTGTACACAGAGTTGTCGCCTGTCTGACCTGACCTACTCACCTACATCACATATCTTCACCCAACAACCTGATCACATCCTATGATAAACTGATTTACAGTCATCCACCTGCCAGAAAGCAGTGTAGAGTCACACTTGTACTATCCAGCAGTGACCCTCCAGCTGGCTGCAGAACATCACCACCTTAAGTCAGCTTATTTCATAACAATTTCATATCAAGTTTAAAATACTTCAATGAATTCACAACTGGAACTTGAAGTATGTATACAAATGCTTACTGACATTTCAACGTGACCTTGATAAATGCTTTCACAAAAGATATGTTCATTTTCAGAAACATTTCAAACATGTCATGAGAGTCACAGGAGTGAGTGATATCTCACAACGGACAATGTATCTGGATATACAGTGGATGTAACTGCATTTGGTGGTCTCTGCAGTTCCTTTAGTCTATCTCACAGTCCCTGAACTATATTATTTTCCCTACAGTCTAGCCCTCCCTGCAATAAGAAAGCCCTAAATGAAGCAAGTCTAGATTTCCATAGGTTCAGGCTGAATCTCTGGTGACCCTGGGGCTCCTTTTCAATCTAAATGGGTTTATCTGTTACAATCAAACATATATTCAGAGACGAAGCATTAGTCTACAGTTTCTTCTGCACAATAACAAATGAAATCAACATACTGGCCTATCCCAACTGAGAACTGACACACTCCCTTGTCAGTCCCTTGCCTAGTCTGTCTCACAGTCCCTGAACCACATGTTCCCTCCTGCTTAGCCCTCCCTGCAATGCTAAAGCCCTAGATGAAGCAAGTCTAGATTTCCTCAGGTTCTATGCAGACTAAGAGTTAGTCAAGCCATTCAACTCCATGAGCAGTTTCATAATGGTTTTAGCATTCTTATTCAGACATGAATTCGGAATTTAATCTGTACAAAACTAGATACATTTAACCTGTATAAAACTAAACACATTTAACCTGTACAAAACTAAACACATTTAACCTGTACAAAACTAGACACATTTAACCTGTACAAAACTAAACACATTTAACCTGTACAAAACTGGACACATTTAATCTGCACAAAACTAAACACATTTAACCTGTACAAAACTAGACACATTTAACCTGTACAAAACTAAATACATTTAACCTGTACAAAACTGGACACATTTAACCTGTACAAAACTAGACACATTTAACCTGTACAAAACTAAATACATTTAACCTGTACAAAACTAAACACATTTAACCTGTACAAAACTAGACACATTTAACCTGTACAAAACTAAACACATTTAACCTGTACAAAACTAGACACATTTAACCTGTACAAACTAGACACATTTAACCTGTACAAACTAGACACATTTAACCTGTACAAAACTAGACACATTTAACCTGTACAAACTAGACACATTTAACCTGTACAAAACTAGACACATTTAACCTGTACAAAACAAAAACAACTTAAAATCCTACACAGACACATACCACATGACCCCAAGTCAGAAATACTGTATTTCTCCATCCACTCTGGTCTGTAAATAATCCAGTCTTGACCAGAAAATCCCCTTACTGACTTCAATCTGTGCATGTATCAGTCAAATTAGCCAGCCTGAACACCCAATCCTATAAGTCACTTCCTTACAAGAAACATAGATTGTTGAAAACTACTTCTGGCCTGAATGTTTCCATCATTGGTAAATACATTAATAGTACGGTTTAGCTTTCTTTCTCATGTTGTTTGAGGCACTTATTCATCCTGTGTACAAAGTGGTCTGTGGTCTAAACCATCATTAAATATTTGGGGATTATTGTGTTATGGTTAAGTATTGTCATGGAAATTCTAAATCCAATCCTTTCAACAGTCTGTTGTCGTGATGACCTGGTGTGAATGCGCACGTGTACACACAGTGAAGGCAGTCTTCTATATTGTGAATGTGTGTAATGTGTACACATATGCTGCACAGTGAAGGCAGTCTTCTATATTGTGAATGTGTGTAATGTGGTACCTTTCACAATATGCTGCTCCCAAGTACGCAGTAGTGTTTCAATGGACATTTGTTGACAAGATACGGCTGTGTGTGTAGATCCTTGGACGGCAGTGTTGCTGTGTTGCCACTCCTGCTGATGTGTTTCAATGCACCTGGCTGTTTGTTCAGATGTGTCTATTGTTATTCATGTACTTTCACCATCTCAAAGGAATTTTAAAAATGAAATTACTACCAAACAGGAAAGAATCCTTTCAGAATGGGCAATGTAAGAAAACCTACGTTGTAAGTAATTCTTCATCTTTCAAAACACAACACCTCTTTCACTCTACTGACTAAGCACTTTGACTTATTACCTCATAAAGCTGCATACAACTCTCACTCCATACTCCCCACATTACCAGAATTCACTTCAATTATTACACTACAAAAACCCTGCATACAACTCCCACCCATAACTCACATAACTTAAACACAGCCCTACCCTACATCAACTACACCTCAAACACTACCCTACTCACATCAACTCATACTTAAACACAATCTCTACTCCCACATCAACTACACCAAACACCATTTCTACCCCACATCAACTACACCAAACATCTCTACCCCACATCAACTACACCACATCAACTCTACACCATCAACTACACCAAACACCATCTCTCTACCCCACATCAACTACACCAAACACCATCTCTACTCTACCCCACATCAACTACACCAAACACCATCTCTACCCCACATCAACTACACCAAACACCATCTCTACCCCACATCAACTACACCAAACACCATCTCTACCCCACATCAACTACACCAAACACCATCTCTACCCCACATCAACTACACCAAACACTACCCCACATCAACTACACCAAACACCATCTCTACCCCACATCAACTACACCAAACACCATTTCTACCCCACATCAACTACACCAAACACCATCTCTACCCCACATCAACTACATAATTCACCAACACCACACTACACATCTCTACCCCACATCAACTATAACCAAACACCATTTCTACCCCACATCAACTACACTACACCAAAACTACCATTCACCTACCCCACATCAACTACACCAAACACCATCTCTACCCCACATCAACTACACCAAACACCATCTCTACCCCACATCAACTACACCAAACACCATCTCTACCCCACATCAACTACACCAAACACCATTTCTACCCCACATCAACTACACCAAACACCCACTCTACCCCACATCAACTACACCAAACACCATCTCTACCCCACATCAACTACACCAAACACCATCTCTACCCCACATCAACTACACCAAACACCATCTCTACCCCACATCAACTACACCAAAACACCATTTCTACTATACCCACATCAACTCAACTACCAAACACCATTTCTACCCCACATCAACTACACACCAAACACCATCTCTACTCTACATCAACACATCACCTACACCACATCACCTCAATTCACTCATCTCAACCCCACATCAACTACATCAAACACCATCTCTACCCACATCAACTACA